GATTTTTTCCTAAAAGATGTGATCCAGAATACCACCTACTCCTTCAATGCAAGCATCAATCACCGGGAACCAAGTTGGAATCAGAATAAAAATGCACTGTTCTCCAGACACTAACTTCAATGTACTGAAACAAGTACTAACCAAGTTAAACAAGCAGTAAAAGTGGTGATCTGGGGGTACTGACTGATAGATGAGTTCTGTGTTTGTTCTGTAGGGCTCAGTGCAGCATTTAAACAGTTTCGTTCCTCTTTTCTTCTTTTTTAAATGAAACCTTTTTTCTCCCTCTGGCTCTCTTATCTATTGATGTAACTAGTGTTGCATGAGAAATTACCTCATTTCAATGGCTGGAGGTAGTTTTTCTATCAATCAGCTGTAGGAAGGTTTCCTCATTTGTTTCATGAGCTGGATAGGTAGGAAATTAAGTATTAGGAATTGCAAATGAATAAAACTAAAACAAAGTTTTCTGTTTATTAGGGTGGTGTTAAAAAAAAACAAAAAAACAAAACAAAAAAAACCACCCCAAACAACTGCGTTAATCTAGCCAGTACATATAATTGGAATTGGTATTCGGATTATGGCATCATTATTACTTTGCAGACAGGGGACTCTGTTATCACTCAGTCATCAGCGAAGTAGCTGCATCTCATCTCTGTGCTCATCTCATCTCTGAAGCTGAAAGAAGAGCTAGTTATTATCTTCAAGTGGGGTTATTAATGAGGGGAAAAATCATCCCCAATTACTGTGAAGCAAAATATTTCAACATTTACATATCTGATACTTTAAATTTGATCTAGTCCTTCATGAGTTTTTAAGCTCAGACTGTATTGACTTTTCCAAACATTCCCACCATGATGTAAAGAGGGGAACTTGCACCTGTCCAAGTGCTGGCTTCCCCAGGGGTATGTTCCAGGGACACAGAGATGCTGCCTGCCCCATCCTTGTGCTGCCAGAGGCTAATTTCCACTGAGATTCTTCTGTGCTGCACCATATGAACAGAGTCTCAAGCATAGGCTTTGCTAGAGGAGTAAGAAATTCTGACCTGCCTAATCTGTCTGTGTTCACAGTCCTTTTTTTTATTAACTAGAAACAGTCTGGGATTTATTTGAAAGAGCTGATTTCACTCTTTTGCCCTTTTTTTTTTTTTTTTTGGCAGAGTATTGATCCTTTGAAATTAATGGTTTGGAAGTTTTGACTCTGAACTTCCTAGAATAAAACCTGAGCAATACAAAGGCGATGTTTAAATTCAGTTAAACATGTGGGCAGTAACCAGGAGATGGGAGAAGTGCTGTCCGTACTGTGAATGCATCCATCAACACAGATGCAAATGTCTGACCTTGGCAGGTTCAGGAGGCAGAGATGTCAAACACAGTTTGCAGTCAGTTGGAAATGTAGCTACCAGACAAATAAAACTCAATAACTACACAGCTGTTTCAGTAGATCACAGGTTTCCTAGAAAACAATAAAACAGCCATCTCTGAATGGAAAAAGTAAACCTCTCATTTTTTCATTCACAGACTTCATTCTTGAAAGTGATCAGGTATGTCTTCTGTAAACTTACCTCTTTTCAAAACCCACAGAGTCTGTAACCAATTGGTGTGGATTTCTCTCCAGCATTTATGCCCATTAATGCTTCGTTGATTTACAGTGAAACTGCTGAAGAAAGGACTGTCTTGGACAGCCATATAAATATTAATTTCTTGTGAAGGATGGCTGCTATTACACTAAATATTAAATGAATTCATAATACTTGGACATTTGCAATAAATCACTACTGGGACTGCATACTAACATCCCATTCCAGGTCTTTTCTTTTCTTTTAAATGTTAAAGCCATGGAAAAGAACAGTTGCTCCCAAAGAAACGTATAGCTTTGTAACACTGGAGTCATTAACAAATTCCAGCTGCACAAGAAGGAGTTTTAACTTAGTCCCATTTTACAGATGGGGGGAGGGGGCACAAAGGGGTTTAGGTTGAACTGCTCATCACAGAAGATTCAAACCCAATCTGTTTCTCCTGAGAGACATCACAGTAAATTATCAGCTTCTGGCAGTCCTTGTTTTGCGTGAAGTACTCTGAGCAGCATCAGCAGAGGATCTGGCAATGTGATACCAGAAGGCTGAGAGCATTTGCCATACTCAAAGGGAGAAAGAGCTGGATGTAATGTCTAATCTCCAGGCACCCTAAGTGGTTAGCATTAGTCACCTCTAAATATCTCGCCCAATGCTACGATGGGAAGGATGGGACTCCTCAGGTTTTGACTAGCAAATTAGGCTTAGCAATGGAAGTAAGTCACCTTCGCTCTTTAGAGAACACAGATCTTAGTCTCATAAGTTTAGTACAATGCTCAGTGGACTCAGGGAGGCTACGAATCAATTCTTTATTTTTCCTTTTGTTAAAGTAGAACAAAGGGTACATCGGCAAGTTCATGATAGCTCCCTGATATCTGAGATAGCAGCTTGAATGTAGAAATTTATGCCAGGGTTAACCATGTAGAGTGGAAGCCATTCTTGTAAACAAAATTAAATGACTGTCAGGCTCATCTGCTTTTCAATGTCCAGATGGGTGTGAATATATGCATCTCCTTCTTTCCAAAGATTTTTGTTTCTGTGCGTTAAATGGTCTAAGTCACACAAGGTTTTTCTAATGAAAATTTGCCAAGGTATTTAAATTAGAAGCAAAAATTAGGAAAGCTGCTACCGCAGAGGAATATTAATTGTTCATTATACAGGGCTTTAGTTCACATAGTTACTTGGCATGTGCAATGCTGCCAATTAAACAGGCTCAAAGTGCTCACTGCTGCACAATAGCCATTTCTCCAGAGCCCCACAATGGCTATTGTACTCTGTCACTGACCTTTAGACACCTTCAAATGCATATTGACACAGTATGCTGGGATCATTAGAGCTATTGTTTCGGTGTGCCACAGGGAAAGGAGAGTTAGCAATTTTGTGAAGAGCTTTAAAATTTGATATAATGATGACAGCAGAGATATTTCTTAATTAGAGAGAGATACACTCAAGTATTTTTCTGGTGCTTCAGGTGTATTCCAGCATGCACACCAACCACAGTTCCCACAACAGTCCCTTCCCATCAGAGAAAGAAGATGTTTATCAAGGGCATTTGGTCTGCTTCTTTATTGTTTCCAAGGGAATTTAGCTAGTATTTTTGACCTGATGGTGCCATATGGCCAGCCTCCCTTAGCTTCCACGGATTCTGCCTGGATGAACATCTTGGCAGGATGAATCCTTTCATCCTGTAAGTGACAAGCGCCCTTTTAAACAAAGCATATAGCTGGAACCAGTGGTATGCAGGAGGCTGGGATCTGGAAGCGTAAGTCTCACTGTACTCTTAAAAAAACAGTGGACGTTGTCTCCGTGATAACAATTATGCTTCGTTTTAGCTCTTCTGTGTCGTAACATCTAAGGTATTTCTGTTTCCTTACCAGTCTATGACAGCTAAAAAGTGCAAACAAGAACTTTGGGAGAAGAGCTATCAGATACTCCAAGTACATTTACCATAGTAGATCCAAAGCCTCTTCTAAAAGCTTATATTTATTTTATTGTAGCCCTCCTATTCTTTAAAGCTGCTTTGAGAAATTACTTCAGCAGTCAGCACATAAAAGAGCATCATTTTAAACCCTACATGGGACATTTTGTCTAGAGAGAATAAATACATTACTGACTTGTATTTCCAAAGAGCACTCCTGCTTGAAGATAGAGAGATAGTTTCTGTTCCGTAAGTATTGCAGTTGCTGCGTTCATTTCTATCCCCTGGGATCCTATTATAAAACAAATTATCAAACACAGCTAAACTTCACAGCCCTGAGTCTCTGAAGACAGTCTTGGGTAATGGCTTGCACTTCTGACAGAAGAGGAAGAAATCGAACAAGCCTTCTGCAAAACTTCTTGAGTCATTAAAGGAAAAAAAAAGAAAAATAATGGAAAATTCACTGCTCAGCATTGCTGGTTGCAACTCCAGCCTAGCGCTGTGCTGCGTGTACCTCAGGATGTCCAGTTTCTGCACACAGTCCCTCTACCAAAAAACTTTCTAGCTTGAAGGACATAATATCTGGTATTTGTGTGTGCTTGAGGCAAATGTGCAGCAGGATTTCTCACACTGCTGTAAAACCTACAAGGTCAGATGTGTGTCTTAGTGATGCAGACTGAATTATTTTTTTCACATTAATTGAAAGAGTGCTGTTACCTTGTTTTCATTCTTCTGTATCAGAAACCCTTTTAGTACTTTGAAGCCTCCCATGCACTGTCACTGCAATTGTCAATTGTGAATTCTTGGTCTGTCTTCAGACATCAAAGTGATACCTTTACCTTAACACATGAGAAGAAGTGACTTCTGGGAGGGAAACACGAATAAGTACAGCTGTGTGATGCAGGATGTGAAGGGGAGCACATGGAACAAGCTATTAAACCACTGTCTTGTGCCTCCGTTCTCCCTACAGTGAATCTGCATCACATAGTAAATGAGGCAGTAATGATGGGTGCTTCTCTTGCTGTGGGCTGGGATCTGAAATCTCTCCTGACACCCGTGTGCTTCACAGTGGAGTTTTTTAGCCATAGGCCCTGATTTGTTACTTTTGGGAAATTTCTCTGTTAAGGGACAAGATTCTGCCAGAATTAAGAGTGCGGCACTTCAATTGTCAGCTTCTCTGCATGAGAAGTTTGTACTTCCCATGTACTTTTGCTGTCCCACTGTAACTGCACTATTTCTTTCAGATGACACGTGATCATTGCCTGGATGGATTTGAAAATTGAGATAATCTTTGCAGTATGTTAGGTCCCTACTTTGATGAATGAGTTGGAGCCCTGATGAAAGGGAAGGGATTTGCATAGGATCTTTATTACCGAAAGCTCAAGTTCTGCCTGGATCCATCTCTAGTCATGGCAGTTTTCAGAGATTTTCTGCTATGCACACTGAGCTGTTCCAAAAGAAAGCCAGAGTTGGTATGTCTGCTCACTGCCCATATTTCATTTGGTTCCTTTGCAGAAGGAAAAGAAGAGTGGGCTGCTGAAACTTCTAGCAGGAGCATCAACAAAAAAGAAGTCGCGCTCCCCACCATCTGTATCCCCCACGCATGACCCCCAGGCAGCCATCGAAGGAGTCCTGCAAGGGGCAGTGGGACCTGAGCTCTCCTCCCTCTCCAGCCATGGCAGGGCTGGCTCATGCCCTATCGAGAGTGAAATGCAAGGAGCCATGGGGCTGGAGCCTCTGCACAGGAAAACAGGTTCCTTGGATTTGAATTTTTCCATCCCTTCTCCTGCCAGGCAACCCCTCTCTTCCATGGCAGCTATTCGGCCGGAGCCCAAGCCTTTGCCCCGGGAAAGGTAAGCTGTGTATCTCCTAAGGTCACAGGCATCCCCAGGGAGCTTTTGGAGAAGGGCTGCAAGTTTAACTTATTAAGGCTTGATGCAGACTGATTTAGAAAGTGGTGAGCAACACCTGTTCCTGACACCATACAGCCCTGGTTTAAATCTGGAGGACAGCAGTGCCTTCTCAGCCCAAAGGGTGCAAATGCTGTTGGCAAAGGCCACTTTTTAAGTGGTATCCCTATGTTCTCATAAACTTACAGAGCTCTCATGTGGTGCTTCCTGCCTGAGGGCAACAAGGGTAATGTGTTTGCTCATCAAGGCCCTCTCTGGCCTGCTCTGCAATACCAAAGACTCTTTCAAATTCTCCGTATTTAGGATACTGCCATCTTCAGTGACCTGTTATTACAAATGTAGCTTGATTCTAGAGAGAAATGTACCAGTGATTCTGGAGTTTATTGCAGCAGCCTGCTCAGCACCTTGGTACCCAAAAATAATAGAGTAGGAACACCAAAATACAAAAGCAGATGGAGAGAGAGATAACTGACTAGGAACAGCAGTACAGAATAGAGCTAGGTCTCCATGTGCAGAGTCATAATTGGTTTCAGGTAAATATTTTCCACAAGACTGCACTTTAAGGAGTGGGAAGGGAACAGATAATGCACTGATACAACACTATTGAAATGCTTTCCACTCAAAAAATGATTGAGAAGAACGTGAGTTTTTATGAAAGCATCAAACAATTTTCAAAAATCGGTCTAGGGAACTCTCTGGAGTTGATATTTCAAATTATTTTGGCACAATAGTAAAGTCCCAGAAGTTTGAAAGAAATTATTTTCATCTGAGTGTATGAAAGACACTGAAAGCAATAGATTGGGCAAGCCACCTGACTCTGAATCCATCTGGGGTCATGGAACAGGGGATGCAGGGCATAATAAGCGATACTAAAGGACAGTTCATACCTTACACAGTGTTTTACTGAATGAAGGTTCAAGTTTGGCTGGGAAGGTAACAACGACACTGTAACATATTTAAACTTTTCTAAGGCATCTGGGTTATTACCATAGAATGTCTTCCTGAATAAACTGTACACAACAGATACACAGCAGATACTGAGTGGATAGAAAAGCAATTCACTGGCATCAAATCTAACTCTAGATCAGAAATCACTAGAAAATGATTGTGTATGTGTGTAGCGTAGCCCAGCAAGAGCTTCATGTCGTACCTGCACTGTCTAACGTAAAGTCTTTGCTGTTGCAGAACGGAGGACTGAAGTGGGAGGTAGGTGATGAAAAGGGCAGACCCATTGCTATAGAGCTAATTCAAAACACCGGTAAGGAGAACACGGAATAACAGCATATTTCAGAAGAGGCAATCTGAGGCAAAGTGGAGTGGCCTCACAGAAACATAACAATGGAAGATTTAAAACAATATACTTGCAGTGAGTGATAAAGGGAGCTCTGGTACATCTGGTAAAGAGCAGGCTTAGAAATGGCTTGGTAGCAGTCAGTAAGAGATGGCAGACAGGACAGATACGGAGTATTTTTACTCCAGGTTGGGCATTTTGTCTAAAAGAGATGCTGTTGTTCATGTGCAGCTATTAGACTTGAAGCAGAAGTAAATACAGACAAGTCCTTCAGCATTGTAATGTAGGCAATGAGAGGAGACTATCACAGTAGTCTCTTGTCCTTAAAATCCATGAAAAAGCAATTTAGTAAAAGGAGTGAAAACCCAATCCCTGTTTAGGTGCACTTAATTTGGTCTACATCAGTTTAGATTAATGCTATAAGAAAAGCTAAATCAATATAAACCAGATTTGGCACCAGTATAACTAAATCAATGGAATGCTGCACCTTTAGTTAAATGTAGCCATGAAAAGCAGCTGGGAGGAACATCCCCTGATGTCTCCAGAGCTGGCTGTTGTGGTGCTCCTCTCAAAGCCTTACTGGGGAGAAGTCCAGACACATTATTTAACATGCCAGGGCTAGTCCATATCCTACACTTTTCTCAGTCCATCTCAGGATGGTTCGGGTAGTGAAATATTTAATTGACAATCCTAAGTGGCAGAATAGAACCAGAGGGACATGGGCTAGCTGTGTCTGCTCAGCCATGCTGGAATCGGGAATAAATAGATTTAGACTGCTAAAACTAAGTAAATATTTCCAATTGCAGTATATGGTGGTAAGGAACCTACTCTGATTTTGAGCATTTTAATTCCTGAGTCTTAAATCTGAAAATAAGCTATAATTGAGGTAACCCTAATTATACACAGCAGGCAAGATCCTCTAATTGATTTATGAATTAACTTCCATATCATTGGTGTATCTGCATTCCTTTACTGATCATATGGGTTTTTTCATGCCCATAATGGGAAATATTAATTACCTTCATGCACCAGGAAGGATAATGCTTAGCCCTGGAATAATCCGAGCAGATACATTAGACACTTGTCTCCTAGAAATTCATCCCACATCCATCTGTGCTCATTAAATCATCAAATTGCTCAGAAGTACCAAATTATACTTTTTTTTTAAAACAAATTACGGTTTTCAAACCACTTGTTCTTTTCACATCTGGCAATGGAGGAACTCACATTCAACGTCACTCAGCTCCATATTTTGCTTGTTTGCATTTTGGTGCATTTCATCCGCACAGTAGGAGCAAATCTCTGAGAAAGAAAAGGGAGGAGAAGGAAAAAAAGGTTAGATAAACAGATTCAGATGCTGGATGAAATTTTGAAAAGCTGCAAAGCATTTCAGTGCACTTAGCTGTACTTGGCTTTCTGTCTCCCAACGCCCATCTGCGCGCACAGAGATGGAGCACTGAAAGGCTGGAAGAAGTAGCACATTCCTTAATATTTACAGCATTCAAAATGAGGCTCATGCAGGCAGCAGAGCACCGCTACTTCCAACGTAGAGGTTGGCTCGCAGCTCCAGCACTCACATCCAGGCTACTGGTCAAACCCGAGCAGTCATGCCACCAGCCATGTCAGAAGTACATTAAAAGGCTCTGATTGCTCACAGCTTGACACTCACAATTTAAGGGGAGAATTGCCTATTCCACTGCCTGACAGTACAGCCTTTCATGGGAGTTGCAGCCAGTCAGACAGGAAGGTGAAGCGAGCTTTGCCCTCTCAGGGATGCTGCTAATCTTTATGCTCTCATTCATTTTTTGTGCACAGGGAGAGCGAAGAAAACAATTACTTTATCTTTTCCTACTTGATATTCCAAAACCTGGTTATGGATGGCTGGGTTAGAAAGGAAATTGCTTCTAACTCTCCTGCCATTTGGCCTTGATATTTAACTGGTTTGCTGGGATAGTTAGTGCCCATCTGCCTTCTGGGTGTAGTTTCCCACTATCAGTTTATAAAACCACCTTCCTTCAGCTGCTCTCTGCCATAAAGCATCCAGCAGTCTGAGCAGCAGAGCGGAGAAATTTCCCAGGTGGTGTCCTTGTCACATTGTGTTGCAGTGATTGACCGTCACGTGAGTACTCCATCACACTGCGTGTGCCCCACACGCTCTTTTCCACCTACAGCTCTATCCAGTTTCTGCTGGTGCAAGAAACAGGGCCAGTATAGGGTTGCACTGTGGTGAGGCCAGAGACGTGCCCACATCCCCCCAACACTGTCGGTACACATGGGACAGTGGTGTGCTGTCTGCCTAGCAGCACCAGAGCAAAATACTTTCCTTGCCACCCCCTTCAAGAAAATATGACTGTACATTAAGCAAAAGAGGAAAGTTGAGTGTGCATGTGTGTGTGCATGAGTCATGTTCCCCTCACTGCCTGGCACTGTTCCCAGATGCGAACCTGAGTAAAACATGTCACGCATTGTTGACGCTTTTATAGTAACTGGCACTAATTCTGCCACGTAATATTGTGATAAAGCAGTTGTATCCAGACTGACTGTCACGACTGGCACATCTGTGCCATGTTTCTATGGCTTTCGTGGAACCTTTCCAGCAAGTTGTGCACAGGAAACGTGCACGACAGTGCTGCAGAGTAAGATGGGAGGAGTGAGTTTGACCTTTAAAAATAGACCCCTCCATGCTTCTAGGTACTCTTTCTACATATCACTGCCACATTAGAAATTGAGCTCCCAATTCAAGGAAGCATTCAAGCATGTGCTTAACGCCCATTGACTTCAATTTTGCTGCGCACATCTATCTTCTTTGCCAAAAGGAAAAGTAGATGAAGGGTTTTTAGTTTCCCGGAAAGTGATACTGGAGAAATGACCCCAGGAGTAAGTTCTGACTGAACAGCAGCATGTATGTGCATGGTTAAGTGCTTTTTTGACTAGGGGTACCTGCCTTAGGACTGAGAAACTAGGATTAGCCATCTCAGAAATTGAGTCCCACCATATTTCCATCAGAAGGGTAAAAGATCCAACTGAGGTTTGTTCTTCTAAGGCTGCTAACTGAGATACCATAATATGGTGAAGTAAGTTCCGGCTTGTGGTGTGCAGAGGCACTCTGCAGTTCTCTGCAATCTGCCAGTAAAAGGATGGAGAAACAGAGCTCCACCGATAAGCAAGAGCAATGGTTAACTGGGCTGGATGCTTCATTGTCACCAAGTGTCTGTCCCCACACAAAACTAACTTATATTTGTAACACACAAGGGACTTGTTGGAGTCACAGGACTCGACTCCTGAAGCCTGTCCTTAATGCATGATACTTTGACAAACGGGAACTTGCCTAAGCACCCGAGTTCAAGAACTGTAAATGGGAACAGATTGGAGGTTAGCACTGCAGACCTAATTTGCCTCATTCTGCTTTTGTTTTCTGAAGTTTCTCTAGCTCCATCAGTGGATGGATGGATGGATGGATGGATGCACATATTTACTCAGTGAGCAGATACTCAGTGTTTTGTGAGGGTTTTTTCCCTCAGTGTCCAGGCCTGAGCCCAACCTCTAATTACTGATCAGTTTTGATCAATAGTGTTCAGTGCCTGTCTGTGCACACTGACAAGAGAGCCTGCATGAGCAGTTTGGACCAGACAACTGACTCCTATGCAGCTAGGGTGCATGAGATGAATCTCACTCTGTGGAAGGCATGACACAGGGCTTTGCAGCTTCAGGAGGCAGAGAAGCCACTTTCCCACACTTGCATTACTCAGTGAGTTTCATGGTGTTCACCTCCTAGAGATCTTCCAACCTCTGCAGAAGATGGGGCGGCTTTGGCAGCCATGTATTTCTTCCATATCAGAGCCCTGACTCACATCCAGAGCAGGACATCTTCTGCAATAAAGAGGCAGGAATCCTATGGGAAAAATAGCTGTATCTTCCAGATGTCAGCAGCAGTAGCAAATGGAGACCTGGATGAGAAAGGTGTTTCTTTTGGCTGTGAGGACAAGTGCTATGAAGACAGAGGACAGTGGGATTCCCAGGCCTTTGCTCACAGCAGAGGGACAGTGATGATGGACCCATTCCCATCTATCAGTGAGATAACTGCTGCCAATATCCCCATCACATCCTCAGCCCCAGTACTAGCTTCTCCTCATGCAGTCTTCTGTCCCATGGGATTCATGTACCAGCCCCAGGCTCCCTCCCATCAAGGTTCTTTGCTCTCCTAGACTCAGCTCTGCATAGCTTTCCCCCTCAGCAGCCATACCTATACCTTCTGTCAGGGCTTCCTCTTTTTGTCAGGGTCCCATTTCTCCCTCAGCTCCCAGTTTTTCTCTCATCACCCTCCTTTTCCCTTCTTCCCTCGCCTTAACCCACTGTCCAACTCCCTGAGGTTTCCCTGCCTAGGCAGACCCCGTTCCTAGCCCTTGCTGATAGTACTTGCAGCCTCTCCTCATGTCTTTTTCCCTTGGGCATCGAGGAACAGAGGACCCTCCCTAGGCCACTGCCCATCCCAGACAGTCCCCTTGGGGACGAAGTGCCCAACTCAAGGATGCCACAGCAGCCAGCAGTGGAAGTCCAACATCAAGTCTGTTCCCTGAGAGACAAACATGAGAGGACCCCATTGCTGGGGTCCTGCAGAGCTAGGACATCTCGGAGCATGAAATCAGCAGAGATTTTACCTTCAGTGCTCATACAAGCCTCTGCTTTGGGGTCATTTGAATGCTTTTAACCTGGCTGAGAGCAGGTGAGAGCAGGAACACCCTCTTTGAAAGAACAGCAGGGCCACAGGACAGGTCTTTGCTCCCAAGTCTGGGAACACAAGAGCAGTTTGTGGAAGACCTCAGCTGGGTCCTGCTGGTGCTGCAAAACCTCTCACATTACCCCTGGAGTTGATGAGACCATTTGGGCTGAATGAGGGACCCTCTGCCTGACACAGCCAACTGCTGTGGAGAGTTTGGACCAAAATGGTTAACATTTGTCAGAATTACAGCTACCCAAGAGTATGATTTACAACAGAAAATACCAAACATTGTTAAGAATAGGCAGGGGTGGCCGCCATACTTATCATCATGATTGTTGCCCAGCTAACTAGCACTTTAAACATTTGGTAATTTAGAGGTGTAATGTGACACTGACAAATTGAGAGGGCTCTGAAAGCCATCTAAAATGCCAGGAAGCAGGTAGGTGTAAGAAAACGTGAAGTTTTATAGTAGCTTCTCAATTCTCAAAGAGAGGACAAAAAGGGAAACAAAAAGAGGAGATATAATTAGAAGTACACAGGACTGCCTTTTTGGGAGTGAGGGAGGATGTCTGGGAGAAGAGATCTTTTCTGCCAAAAAAATATGGCTAATATATGTATTTGCAATTTAGTTCCAGAGGATAAACTAGGCTGAGATGCCACCTGGAGGTCTGGAGGGGTGGCACAGCAGCCTCCTGGTGCTGCTGCCTGCTGCAGCCTCTCCCGGGCCCGGCTTCAAAAGCCTCTCAAGGGAAAAAGCATAGCATCTTTTCCATCTCTCACAAAAGATTTTGTAACCGATTTGCAACGTCTTTTGTATCTGAGATTTCATTACCCTATCAAAACCACTTTGGTGCTATTCTGTGAGGCACCATAGTTAATTAAATTTAAGCCGTAGCATTTGGGGTTCCTTAAATGGGAAAAAGTACTTCATTTGGTAATGCAGTGACCGAGATTTATTTTTCTAAATCTGTAAGAAGATGCTGTGTAGAAGCCCTTTTATGATGATGGGCACATTCCTGTTGAGCGTAGTCACGTCCCTTCTTATGCAAACCGTTTGGGGACTAGCAGTTTATCACTCCTCGGATGTAGTCTGGCTTTAAAAGGATGGCTCTGGTTTAAGGTATGACATGAGGTGTTGGCAGCCCCAGCTGGATCTTTAGGGTGACCCTGCCCAGGGCACCACCTTTTTCTGTGTCTCTTTTTCCAAGTCTGCCAAAAGGGATGTGAGTACCCCTGCACCACTTAACTGAATGCTGAGGTCCTACCTTCCTCTTTCTCAAAGCCTTTTGAGATTCTGGTACAGAGCTCCAATGCACTGTGATTGTGCATAGAGTTGTGAGATCTGAAACTTGGCATCGTCATAGCTAAAATTGTTCCACTCTGATAATTTAATTAATCAACACTGCAGCAGAGTGTTTGAAATAATGTGTGCACTCATTTGCATAATGGCTGTAATTGGCAAAGCTTCATAATATAAGTGTAGCAGTTCCACAGATGATAACAGATGATAACATGATAGACCATTTTCCTGCAGACAGCCAGCAGCACACATTTCAACCTCTGTTATTTGCTTTTCCGCAGAGGAAGGAAGTGACAACTAGATTTATTGACCAAGGGACAGAGAAGACCGGCACATTTTTGATGGCATTCGAACATATATTTTCTACATGACTCTGTTGCTGTGTCAAGATCAAAAGGCTGTAGTCAGATTTTAGAGCAGAACCCCCACTCCGAATGGATTTTAGTGCTTTTCCAAGTAATGGGATGTTTGGCTGTGGAGATGTCCAGACACAGAGCCAAAGCTGCTGTGGTCACTGTTGCGTCAAGGTGGAGTCCCTAGTTTCAGAACTGCAGTCACTACCTGAGCAATATCTGTGAAGAAAATTAGTGACTGCCACTGGAGAGCCCCTTGCCTACCATCTCATTGGGAATGGCCTCAGGGAGTGTTCCAGAGCCTTCAGGGCATGTTGAAGTTAGTCCTTAAAGATAGGATATTATTTTAAATAATACTCACATTGTAACAAGCATGACTGAGAAATCAATGGTCATGCAGTGGTTGTGGAAATATTAAAAAAGATGGGCTTTAGGTAATCAATTAGCATCTTTTAACTATCTTACTATATTCATTGCTTTGCAATTAGCAAGACTGTTAACCAAATGCCAGATGACTGCAAAAGTACATGTGCTGAAGGAAAAAAAAACAGTGCAGTGGAAATATATTCCCTCTTCTGCACACAAGTGCATTGATACAAAAGGGCCTGGTCTGTGCTCTTAGGAGGATGCCTGCTGATAAGCCTGAGTGCGGAATAGCTGTATCAGGATGAGACCTGTCATTACTTCATTGAAATGAAGTGACACTTGAAAACTAAGTTCCCAGAGAGCTCTGTGAATGGTTCAAGACAGGGGCTCCCTATTGGTTTGGAGAGTGCTTCAAAAGTCATTTGATACCTCTCCATTTTAGATTCCTTTCCAGGTTTGAGGGACCCAAAGTACATTCTCAAAAAAGCATAATAAGAAGAAAAATGTGAACTGCTTTAGCTAAACCTCTGCTATACCACAGGTAGGTTGTGGAAGCACTGCAAACCCATTCTTCATCATCAGCGGACAAGGGAAGAGCTACACATCTCATCTATCCAGATGTCTGTCTTTGACACAGTCCCCCACACCATCCTTCCCTCTAAATCAGAGAGATAGGGATTTGATGGGTGGACTACTTGGTGGAGGAGGAATTGGTTGGGTGGTCTTATCCAGAGAGTAGTGCTCAGAAACCATTCTATGAATCTGTGATTCTGTGGTTTTTGGATGGAGCAGATGCAGTGCTGAATGAGACATGTCACAGCAGAGGTAGATGCAGTCCTAGGCGAAAGCAGCCGAGTCCCTGGCACGGACTCATCACACAACTGGGAGCAGGGACCACTGCGAGTAGTCCAGATGTTTGATAATACCTTCCTGCTTTCCTGGTCTGGCTCCAGAGCATGCCCCGGTCATGTCTCCGGTCAGGCTGGCCAGAAATCTCCCCGCCATACTCAGTTTTGTAGGGAACGTAGCTGCACTGGATACAACTAGTGTCCAAAAACTGTAACTTACTGATGTTTCCAATAGTATTTTTCCCCAAGATTTGGTGGTTCTGGTTCCTGCCTGCTCCCATCAGGTGCAGGCTCGACCACTGGCTGACCAAGTCTTTGCGTTTTTGTCTCCAAAGGTACCGTGTTGTGGTTCCATACCCGCCACAGAGCGAGGCCGAGATCGAACTGAAGGAAGGTGACATTGTGTTTGTGCACAAGAAACGGGAGGACGGCTGGTACAAAGGGACATTGCAGAGGAACGGCAGGACGGGCCTCTTCCCCGGGAGCTTTGTTGAGAGCTTCTGAGGACAGCTCGCTGCTCTCTCAACTGGAGGAGCTTTCAGGGGAAACTGCATAGCACAAGAAGAGACAGCAAAGAGAAACTGGACTGATAACCACTGCCATTTTTATTTCCAAAGACTCCCCCCAGGCCCTTCAGTCTACAGCTCTGGAGTCACAGTGCCCCATTGTGCTCCTGAGACCATGTGCGGTGCATACAGTGGTATGTTGAAGTAGTGCCTTCCACCTGGAATCACAGACTGAAAGGACGCCCATCTGGACTGTACGTAACCTAAACTCCGGCTGTTAACCCTTTGTGTAAATTATAGAGAAGATATCTTTAAAAAAAATTAAGAGGAAAGTTGTTATATTGCTGTAACTTATTTGTCAGAGCTGCAGTGTTCTTATTACTGGCCTATGCAAGATGGATTTGAGAGTTCAAGGAGGTGTGCTAGGAAGCTCTTAAACTGGGATTTTATTATTCCCGAGGGAAAAAGAGGGAGGGAAGGATGGAGAAAACCCCAGCTAAAGATCAGTGCATCATTGTGCAAGAAAGAATGAGGAGTCCAAAACGTTAATGTCATGCTTTCTATATACCTCAAAGATATGCTGCGCAAGTTTGTCGGTGAGTGTGTTAGTGCTCAGAGTCCCAGTCCATCCGTTGTCCTGGCGCTGCTGCCAGGAAGGTCCTGGAGGAAGTACGGCTCCACCATTAAACTGTGGTTATTTGAGCAGAATCCCTTTTGCCTGTCTTCTGCCCTTATTATATGCAGCATGGATTTTTGTCTTCAGTATCACTTTCCGTTGCTTTTTTGTATGACGTACCTTTTTACTGTAAGAACTGCTCTACTTTATATATATATTCCTACTAGATCAGACATTTCCTCTTTTTCATACATCTGGTGCTATTTTTTTTAATTGTTCAAGATTTGGGTTGATTAAACAGAGAGGCTGCAAAAAGATTTGCATTCAACATATGAAATTAGAAACGTACCTGAAGATCGAGATCAGACTGCTTGTTCATGCTTCGTAGAGGAGAAGACAAAAAGCTGCTTGGTCACTGATAAATGTACCTGGGGGAGAGTGCCCGTGCAACACACACGTGCTCGCTCTCTCCTATGCATATAGAGTGGCTGAAGACCCATGCTGAAGCACAGCGTTCTGTCTGGAGAGCGATGATTACTCCAGAATTGGAAGTAATTCCCAGAGGAGTCATTTTGATTGACTTTTTCATGGCAATAAGAAGAACACTGCAGGTTCTAGCACACGCAGGGACCGTGGAGTTTTCCTCTGTCATTGCATGACGGAGGCGGGAGCTGATCTGCGATGGCTGTAATTAGTGTTATCAAAATGTGATTTCTTACTGTAGAAATGTACAGTTTGGGAGACTGTTCCATTTCTTACCATGGTGAAGCTACAATACAAACCATATCAGGCAATATAAGCTTCCATCTACCAGGGACTTAAAGGTGCAATAAATGTGAAGTGAGTTTAGCCAGTTATTCCCATGAAGCAGAATGAGAAAAAAAATCCATAATGAGATTGTGTGAGCATTTAAAAAGACGATGGCTCTTGAGGAATGAAACGTAATGAAAGGCTTTTCGTAGCTGCATCCATACCTTGCCTTTGCCAGCGGCTGGCTGTGCGCCACATGTGGTGGTCATTTAAAAGTGTGTCAGAGGCACTGTAACCTGGAGATGATCTTATTAAAAGGAAGAGGCCCAGTGGGTGAACATCGTTACTGCATTACCAGTATTTCATATGCGAAGGTGTAAGTTTTGTTTTCATTCAAGCCATGTATACTACTACATATCAAAACCCATGTAAGTGAGCATTCCTATTTAAGTTCAGCTCTGTGACTTTGTTCTCTGTAAAATAAGTTTCTTCTTGCTGTCACATGTAACAAACCAATTCCAGAAACACAGTCCATGGCCAAGTATAGCACCTTCAACCAGGGAGGCATCATTTTCAGGGTGTTTCTTTTTTATACTTAACGTTGCTGCATTTGTTCATATTCCAGATTGTAATGAGTCAGCCACTGAAAGTTTAGTTACTGTTGAAAGGAAATTGCCTTTTTCTAACCAATAAGAGACTGAAGAAACATCTTTTGGAAAGACTTGCTTGAGACTAGAGCCATATCAGTTCCACTTACTTGGTCCAGGTCAGAACTGGTATCACTGCACCTCAAATGGTAAACTGCACAGTTAGCGAGTCAGCAACACTGAAATGCCTGTTATTGATTCCAATAAAAATTCCGGGTTAGATCTGTCAGAGATGCGCAGATTTTTTCTGACAACTTACACTGGTTAAAGCTCTCTTAAAATTCTGTTCCGTGGGTGTATTTACTACACTCAGAAAAATGAAACAGGATGACGGCTTGCTTGCTGCCTATTGTGTTTAGCCAGACCTAAAACGGTTCCAGATTTCCACCTTTTCATGCGTAACTCTAACAGGAGAGAATTTGGTGTGTGCGAAGATCAAGGAACACACGCAGATGTCATGTCGTGAAATCAGTGCTTTAAAATACATTTTGCAGGGAGGATGATGGGGTTTTTTTAATGGACAGCAACCCTTCTAGTCATACCTCCTGCAAGGAAAAATATTAGGGGGGTGAGGGTGTTCTATTTTGATAATAGATGTTACTGGCCCCTGTTTATTGCTTATCATCACAGTTTGGGTTACTGAGTAATCTTCTTGGACAAATCACTTCCATGCCAGGAGCACAAGTGCAGAACTTAATAAAGCTCAGTGATACAGAAACATGACCCAGTGCCATTCAGAAAGTCCTGGCCTGAGAGAGGTTCAACTTGTACAGTGGTCTAATTTTTACCTGTCATACCAGGGATAGGGGGGTTGAGGGGGCATCTGCATCTCCTACAACAGGGCGGGGAAGAGAAAAGACTCCTTCTGGTGGCCTCAGTTTGTAAAATGCCAGGTTTGCTCTCCTAGAAATGGGTTCAAGTAATTGAACAATTCCTTTGAACTTTGCACAGCTCAGAAAATGTTTTTGTTATACATGAATGTTAACGTGATTTAGGAAATGTTGGCGGATATGAGTACAAATGAACTACAATGACTGTGTTTCTGATTCTTTAAATAAAATAAACATTAAGGCAACTTGAGTGAGGTTTCTCTCTCTATTAGACCACGAAGTGAACAAGCAATGTAAGACAAACCCTCTGCAAACCCTGCTTTTTTTGAGCAGACGCTACATCTCCTTTGCTTTCACAGGTAAATCCCACGTAATAAAAGGCCAGTTAAAGAGAAGAAATGCCTGCACAGAAGTCTGAATCTCTGTATCTGCTTTTTGGCTGATGTGGGATTCTTCAAAATCCTGAGAAGTTAACAACTTACCTGTGAGGGGAAGGTGTGTAGGTGCAGAGAAAGAGAGTGGGGACAGCTTGGGGAGAGGGACTATGGAAGCAGAGAGGCTGGGAGGGGATGCATCAGCAGAAGCACTGGCAAGGAAAACAGCAGCCTCTAATCCTGCTGGCAGATTTTGGGGGTGCTCTGATATCACCTGGTTGGTTAAGCAGGTTTGCGAGCGGAGGAAGACCCCTTCCCTCCTGCCCCAAGTGGGCTTGACCCCAGCAGGATCTTTGTGTCCCCCAGACTACATACAGCCAAGGAACTGGGAGAGAGGGAAGGAGTAGGTTTTATCCTTGGCATCCAAACACCCCCCTAACCCAGGTGCAGGGGGTAAGCCCATTTTTGCATGTGGCCTTAGCTTCCTCCTCAGCAGCACACTGCAGAGCACCTGGAGGGGGGAGCACGCACTGTGTTTGGATGTGTTTGCCTTGATTCAGCTGGGACATGCCTTTGAGGAAGAGGCCCCCCCCAGGTGGTGATACATTGCCCCAGTTGGGAGCATGTAGGGCAGGGAGGAGCCACACTCAGCTTGCTCACCAGGGCATCACGGTCATGGGCAGCCACCCCTCCAGTGAGGTGACATGAGTCTATCTTTGCCTCAGCTGGATCCAGAGTCAAGATTCTGAAACATGGGAACTGGAAGAACTTGAACATGGGCAGGCAACACCTCTTGGCCTTGCTGGCTGCTGACAAGCAACATGGTGCAAAACACTGCATGGAGGAGCCTGACACCCATTTCCAAGCTGGTCTGGAGTGCTGGTCACCTCCATGCTTCTGGGGGTCCTGCTCCTCTCCAGCCACACTACCAGCACACGCTGTGCACCTCACCCAGCCACCACACCACACACCACCCTTTGCTCATGCTCCAGCGCCTGACAGGAACCCCAGTTGTGTTTCAAAAGTAAAACAATCATCATAAAATTGTTACACAGCACGACTATTCCTAAAAGCTCATGGAGAGCAGAACCACCTGGACAACATCTGCAGGGCTTTCCTGCTGCCAAAAGCTCTTCCTGACATCAGCAGCTCCTTATAACATGGTGAACCTGGCAGCTACACGGCTCAGGTCGCTGGTGCCAAACCAAATAAATGAGCTATACCAGCAGAGAAGCCAAGAGGTCATAGAGTCTGGAGAAGGCCCTGTCCTCCCATCCCAGCCTTTCATCTAGTAAAAGTAACTCTCCAAGCAGCCGCAGATGTATTTCCCATCACTGGGGTGTGGGTGTCTCCCCTCCCGGCAGAAAACAACTGGATTTTTCTCAACCACCAAGCAGCACCTCCTGCCCCACGGTGCTGCGGAGGGGCCACGAGCCAGGCCACCAAGGGGGTTGCATCAGGGGGATCTTCACACCTCTACCCCTCCCAGCAGCACACATTTATAGGTACGGCTCAGTTGCAGGTGAGCCCATCCCTGCATGGCTCTCTTCTTTACTCCCACCCTATGGAGACCCCAGCAGCCCCAGGGAAAGACACCCAGCGTCCTACCAACTTGGCAAGAGAGTCACTGAAAGCTGTTTCCAACACAAATGGTTCTTTCACACCAGCTAAGATGTGACACGGTGTTTTTGCAAAGGCAAAAGAAATGGTCTTGTGTGCAGGATTATGAGCTTTGCAACCTCCTGTGTGAACACATATGTGCGCACGTGTAAAAAACCTCGAGCAAGGGCTGCCCTGGTGATACCTGCTTACCCTCTGAGAGAGGGCATTGGAAACGGGGGCTGCCTTTTTAGTTAAGGGTGAGCGTCCTCACAGGACATGCCACGCCTGGGGACACCACAGGCTTGGTTGGTGCCATTGGTGCTGCATCCCAGCAAAAGATGGGGGTGAGCCATGGGGTTTGGCAGTAAGGTTGCTGTCACCCATGCGTTCTCTTCGAGGAGTGCAGCAGTGATGGGGAGCACAGCTAAATAGTGGGACAGAGTGAAAAAGAAGCCACTAAGACAGGAGTGTCTTTAACTTACTGTCAGAGAAGGAAAATGAGTTAAATTTGCATTTCCCATCTGCACAAGAGCTTGGTAAGGCTGATGTCAGTCACGTTGGCGCCTGCAACCCCCCAGCAGGCCCCAGGAGGGCAGTTTTGGGGTGTGCAGTGGAGGGTTGTCCCATTGCCAGGAAGGCATGTCCT